TTGCCAAAATGTCTGAAACTCTTCATTCTCCATATATTTATGCTCTTGTGCAGCTGAGCATAAAATCACCAGAAACGATTCAGTCAGTTTGCTCCGTTTACTCCACGTGGTTTTATCTCCCATCTAGTTTCATGAAGAAATCTTTCCTTTTATTTGAGATAAATGGGGAAAAAATAAACTGGACCAATCAGTTGATCTGCTGATCATCTGTGTTGATTTGTCTTTGCAGTAACCACAGTTGGGATGATATGAAACAACACAGCAAGTGTAAAATAAATATATTTTCTCTTTCCGCTCCAGGTGGCCGTCTGCTGCATCTGCTTCTTTGTCATTCTGCCTCTGAATCTGGTGGGAACCATTTTGGGGAGAAACCTGTCTGGTCAGCCCAACTTCCCCTGCAGAGTGAACGCCGTGCCGCGGCCTATCCCCGAGAAGAAATGGTGGGTGGATGATTGTTGCATACATTACAGAAAATAAATGTACAGATGGACAGATTGTCTTGCAAAAACACAAAATCTTACCAAGTATTGCTGCCTAGATTTTAGTGTAAATATCTTATCACACATGAAATAAAGCAAAACTAACTTACAAGCAACATTTCAGCAAAATATAGAAGCTTGTTTTAAGAAAAAAACTCATTATTGAACATCCACTTGAGAAAAGAAAAAGGTTTTTAAATATCTTCTCATTTGCAAAATGTAAAGATTTTGTTCAATTTTGACCTAATTAGTGCTCTGAATAATTGATCTCTTTCATATGGTCTTTTTTTAGTCTGGACTCTGCACAAGTTAACAATTGATTGATTATTAAAATAGTTGACAATTATTTCAATAACTGATTATTGTTTCAGCCCTCGACTTTATAACCAACAAATCCCTGCTGTTGTTTGCACAATCTTTACATTTTTAGAGTCTGTCATTATTTTAAACGCACACCTTGTACATTTCTTTAAAGGGACAGTCGGCATCACATCAAATCAACTTTTTTCAGCTTTATATCAGGTTATAATATTCCTGCATCAAAATAAAACCTGGAGTGTTGCCTTAACTCATAAATGAATGTTTGAGAAATCCTTTAGTCTCCATGGCAGGATGCCTGGTTGGCGCAGCTCCTCCTCTGAGCTGCAGTTTTCAAGCTACCGATCTTTCACCTAACAGAGCAGCCCCACTCAGCTCCTTCAGACTAGCCAGCAGCAATTGCACATTTGAGTATTTTAAGTACGTGCACAGGAGTTTTTTCTTATGCTGTAAATCTGCCCTCACTTGTTCAGTCTGGTATTTTTATTTTGGTGTTATATTTTACCTTTTGTTTGAATCTGGGTCTTTGCTGCTGAAACAGCTGAAGTTATTTCTGTTCTGTAAGTCTGACCTACTGACTCTGAGGACAAATTGCTGCGTTTCATGGAAACATCAGCTGTAAAACAGAAGACAAAAAACGTCTGACTTATCCTTCTTTAAGTGATGAAACATGTGGAAATATAAATGCTGACTGTGTTGAATCGCGTCCTGCCTCAGGTTCATGGAGCCGGCTGTCATCGTGTGCCTCGGGGGAATCCTGCCCTTTGGCTCCATTTTCATAGAAATGTAAGTGTTTCCTGAGGAATTGATTCGGTTCTCCTTTAGACGATGCGTCGCAACGACACTCTCTCTCCTCTCCTGTCAGGTACTTCATCTTCACCTCCTTTTGGGCCTATAAAATCTACTACGTGTATGGCTTCATGATGCTGGTTCTGGTGATCCTCTGCATCGTCACGGTGTGCGTCACCATCGTATGCACATACTTCCTGCTCAACGCCGAGGACTACAGATGGTGAGCGGTTTTTTTTAAACACATCAGGGTTTATTCTCTCCTTCATGTGTTTATGCTACAGAGGTGGCAGAGTAACCAAAATTGTACAGAGAATCCAGAAAGTTTATTCAACTAATGGTTAAAAAAAAATTTGGTAAAAAGTCAAATTAAGTACTAACTGATCAAAACATCAACCATTTCATATTTAAAAATTACATCATAAGATGGACCAAAATGTAAAGACAAGTGGAAACTTAACTTTATATTATAATAATTCATATAAGTAACAAAATCAGAAAAACTTTTTTTTCAAAATAATTTATTTTCAATAAAAGACTTATGAAAGTTTTAACACAAACGTGTTTGTTTCCTGTTGAATTCTCGGTTAAAAAAATACAGAAATTTTCACTCAACTAAGAGTAGAAATACTAAATTATAAAATTGAGTGAAAGTAAAAAGTGCAGCGTAGTAAAATATTCCTAATATTTAAAAAAGTAAATGTAACTGAGAAAATGTAATGTCTGTTTGTCTGATGTTTCTCCAGGCAGTGGACGAGCTTCCTCTCTGCTGCATCGACTGCGGTTTATGTTTACATGTACTCCTTTTACTACTATTTCTTCAAAACTAAGTGAGTGATGGCTGGAGCTTCAATAATTGATAGAAAACTGAAATAAAATAAAAAAAGTAGTGGATTCTAAAACGTTTTCCGGTGTATTTCAGGATGTATGGGTTATTTCAAACATCCTTCTACTTTGGCTACATGGCCGTGTTCAGCACTGCTCTGGGAATCATGTGTGGTGAGTTTCTGTTCTTCTTCTCTGATTTACACACCAAAATGTCACAAACTGAAGCAACATGAGTCTTCTGATTTAAAGTTGAGAACATGCAGCTTCCAATCAGGACTTTCTCTGCTTCCTTGTTAAATAACCACCAGGACTGCAACTAACAGTTATTTTAGGAATCCATTTCTCTGACGATTAACCAGATAAAAAGTGATACATTCTGCTGCTTTTATCCCAGAAATGCATTAAAAGATGCAAAAAACTCATTGCATTTTGTAATTCTGGTTATTTTTGTGTTTATCCAACTAATAATTAGATAGCAAAAGGTGCTCACTGGATTTCTTTTCACTCAGATTGAACCAGTTGAAGCTAAAACTGCAACATGAGGAGTTTAGTAAAAAGATTTGTACACTAAGATTTATTTCTTTTTCACCTTAAATGCAAAACGTGTGTATTTTTGTGCAGTTTTACCTTAATTATTGCTCTGATTATATTTTTTTTTTCAAAACTATTTTCAGTTGGTGCACTCTGGTTAGCAATTCATGACTACATTAGTTGATTATTTCAATAATCAGACTGGTTCAGCCTTAGTTTCTGCATCACAGCTGTTTTTGAAATGGTAACTATTTCTCGTGAAAAACTCAAAAAGCCTGCTTTTAGCCTGCTGACCAGCAGTATGCAGCAACAGGTGGGAGAAGGTTTGCACTGTTTTAGTTTGCACTCCATGCATTAGAACAAATTCTTCTTCTGCTCTTCAATGATGTGACAGGTTTGATTTTGGACCTCAAACTTTTTAAATATCTCCGCCTAATGCCTACTCAGACACACTCCACACAACCCGTTTTAAAAAGTGTTTGATGCTGATCAGGTGTTTTTTTCCTTTTGCCTTCTGGGCTCCCCGGGTCCGACTGCTGCTCAGACTTTCACTAGACCTTCTCTGCAGAACTGACGTGCTTCCTTCAATCTGTTTCCAGGCGCCGTCGGCTACATGGGAACAAGTGCCTTCGTGAGGAAGATCTACACAAACGTGAAAATCGACTAAGCAGCGCAGCAGCAACACGGGGATTTGACTGATCCACCTTCGTGTTCTGGAAGACGGCAGGCACAAGTCATTTATTCCCTTCCCTCTTGCAGAGAGATTGTGAGAATCTCACTTTGTTCAACATTGTTTTGTTTTTGTTTTGTTTTTTTCTGAATAAATTTCAACACCGTGATTTTCAGATCTGTGGAGGAGATGTAAAACTCAAGGTTTTTATTTTTTAATCAGTTGCTTTAGGAAACGGTTGGGAGGGTTGAATGTTTAAAGCCGAATTTTCTCTCTTTTCCCCCCCGAGCCAGTCCCAAACGAGACGACACGTTGACGGAGTAGCGTAGCTCTCTTCAGTGAAGAGGCCGGAGCGTTCGGAAAGCCTTGGTTCTGTTGCGTCGGATTATTCGGGAGCCGGGCTTGTTTCTATTTTGTACTCCTGGAAGTCACTCGAAGTGTTGTCGTATCTCCGCCGTACCGTAGTGTGTTCTTTTGCTTTCACTGAAAACGACAAAAACCTCCGTTTGGCGGCTTAATTCTCCAGAAGCAGTCCATCCAGTCGGTGAGGTTCTGGCCCTGCTGTCGGGTTTCTGAACTGGACAGAAACGGATCAGCAGCTGAGGTGCAGGAAGAACTGATTATTTTTGTTGTTTTTTTCAATGGCCGTTTGATGTGATCCCATCTCCAAGTTAGTCTTGTTTTCTAAATGTTTGGGTTGAATGAAGTCTACATGTAAAGATAATATATGGATGGGGTGGCGTGTATATAACCTTAATAATGTACCTTTAGATGTAGATCCCAAATGTATTTTCGTTGTACAGTTTACTACAGGGTGTCTTTTTTTTTTTTTAATGAATCCTTTAGTTGCATTGATTTGTTTTTCTCTTGGTTCGGTGCTTGGGGTGGGCGCTGTTACAGCTTGCCTGAAACTGCATGAAGTTTTTTCCACATTAACCATCTTCATCAAATTCTGCCTCCATTTTTTTCTGTTTTAAACCCTTAAAGCCACATTTTGACCCACTTTTCTTCGTTTGGAGGACGTTTTTTTGGATTTCAAAGCTTTAAAGAAGGCCCACGTCTTTCGGTAAGCAAAGCTTCGGTAAAAAGAAAAACATTGTTTATCTGCAGGAACGAGGCGGTGCTTCGTTTCTGCTACTGTACAAAGTAAAGTTTATGTACACCTAAAACTAGATGTTCTCATCACCACACTGTGCTGCAGAGTGTTTCTCCCTACTTTGTGTAAATACAGTATGTACCCTACTTGTATGAGAAGTGGCAAATGCCTTTTTTTCTAATTTCCAGTTCTCTCCCACGTTGGTTGATTTTTGGCACTTCATGTTGTGTACCAATGTCAGACATTTTGAACCTGCATATTAACTTGCTGTAAAAAGAAAATAAACATGTTTATGTACAGGGGTTACTCAGTGATTTTTATTATCTTCATACAGTAGAGATGTGAGTTGATAAACAGAAACAAACTGGTCCAGACGAATCAAAGCCGGGATTTTGTCGAACAGATTTATCGGTAAACTAAGAAGCTTTTTATTATTTCCGTTTAGTTGACCTTCTCAAAGTACTCCTTCGATCCTTCAGGGGTTGGTTTGATCTGAAAAGGAATGAGAATTAGACATTATGCTGCTCTAACTGAACATTTAATAAGAGTAGAAACAAAATCCAGCTGGGGATTCAAACCCCGGCCCTTCGTGTTGCAAGGCAACAGTGCAGCTCATTATAAATGATAACAAGAATTTTACATTTTTACTATAGAAAATAACCAGAAAAAGTGTTTTGTGTTTGATGTGACGATTTTGAAATTTTACCAACAATAAGATTTTTTTTGCTTTGCTACAACATGAGAAAATCTGATTTGGATTTAATTTGGTCACTTGACATTCATGTATCCATGGAAACCATCATTAAAGAGATCAAAACTTAAAATGTGTAATGAACTTTCTGTAGAGCAAGAGCTGAAATTCACATGAAATAGCTGCTTTTCTTAAACGCTAAAGCAAAATTAAATTTTACACAAACAGTCAAAAATATGGACTGTCACTGATGCTCATATTTAGTTTCCTTTCTAAATATTTTGATCTGAACTAACATTTAGTTTGAAAATTAAATGTTTAGTTGGGTACTAAATATAATCTAAATATTTATTTGGGAACCATTTAAGTTCCTGAAGGAATAAAATCTGATTGTCTTTTTTTCTTCTCTGTGGAATTTGGAATCTGTTCACTGGGAAAAAACATTTAAACATTTCTTGAATATATTTGCAAAGTAACTCCACACATTTTGACTACAAAAAAGAAAACTAAATTCAGCAGGACTCCTAATTTAACTTTTAGCTCCTTCCAGCAGAAGGTCAACATGAAGGTCACGCTGCAGCCAAGCAGATCTGTAACCTTTGCTCAGGTAAAGTAATGAGATTAGTCAAACATGAAGCAGACGGGCTGATCGACCTCTAACCTTGACTCACAGCTAATCTAATCCAAAACAGGAATGGATTCTTGTTGGTTGAGTAAAACTTGAAGACCATTTTAAAAGTCTGCAAAAAATGTCCTGCCGATTTACTTCTGGCGAACAAAAAGCATCAAAGTAGCTTTGAAAAGCGAAGAGACGCTGTCGACCCATTTCTTAGCTGAAAATGGTGCATCTTTAAAAAGCATACCATAATTTTATTGAAATTTGAAACTGCTTTATAAATCTATAATATTTTGACTAGATGGCATAATAAATCAACATACTTCTAATCATAAAGCAATCTAGTTTTAGATATCTAGTTGATCTGGAGATATCTTACAGCAATTTTGATTAGAAAAAAGGAGGAAATTAGTAATTTAAGTTTTTGGGAAATTGATGCATCTAAAATTAAGGATCTCTTGTTTTTATTCATATTTTTTATATTTTACAGATAAATTTATCATTTTTTAAATTACTTTTAATTAAATTAAATTTTATTTCATGTTTTATTCTTTATCTACCTGTGATGTGAAGCACCGGAAAACTCAAAAGCAAATTTGTAATTTATACAAGTCAGAACATAATTAGAGATATCTTAATTTTCCAATATGTCTTCTCATAAGCCAATTTAAAATATCTGGTTGTAAGAGTGGTGAAACTGATTTTATGTTAAAACGGCCTGCCATATTCCTCCTACTGACAGCATCAGGGATGTTTAGGTGCTGTAGGGATCTGCAGTTTTCCCAGAGATACTCACTGTGGGCGACTTCGGCGTCCAGCTGGCTGGACAAACCTCTCCGTGCGTCTCGACGAACTGGAAGGCCTTCACCAGGCGCAGCGTTTCCTCTACGCTCCGACCCACTGGCAGGTCGTTGACGCTCATGTGCTTCACCACACCGTTTGGATCGATGATGAATAACCCCCTAACACAATGAAACAGAATAGATAAGACAGATATTTACCACATATTTCAATGTATTTTAGACCAACACAACAACTCTGCAGACCCCACACATGCTGGACACGAACAGTTTAGACTAACTTTCGAGTTGGTGCTACAGCCTCATCGATATCAGGCCCATTTTCAATAATTTAACCTCAAATTTGCTGTTTTTGGAGATATAACTTTTGAAAAATCTGGATTTTTATTTCCACCATTAAATTAATAACAGAAGAAGTTAAAGATGTTTACAGGTATAACTCCTGAGCTCACCTCAATGCGATTCCCGGGCCGTCCAGCAGAACCCCGTAGTCTCTGGAGATCTGCTTGTTGAGGTCCGACAGCAGAGGGATGTGGATGTTTCCTAAACCTCCAGCCTGGAACGTCAATAAAAGCCGCTGACACACATATTCATCGACATACGCGCTACAGTCTCTGTGTTCTCAGAGTCATTTGCACCTTTCGTGGCGTGTTGATCCAGGCCAGGTGGGTGAAGTGAGAATCCACAGACACGCCCACCACCTCACAGTTGACGTCGTGAAACTCCTTGGCCTTGTCGCTGAACGAGATGATCTCCGTCGGACAAACGAACGTACTGAAAACAGCGAAAACGCAGGAATTAAAGGGGAAGTACTATCAAGAAAATATGGCAAGTTGTTACAAATGCCATATCAAATACAACAATTTTGTTTAATCTAACAACTGGCTGAAAGTTAGCTTAGCTTATTTTCATAAAGCTTAGCTCAGTTTAACATGATGCTAACAGGAAAAACTTGAATCTTTCTTTTTTAATCCTTTAATTACTAATTATTATTGTTATTATATCTGATTGAACAATCCAATCAAAAGCAAATGTGTATATATTTTGCAGGTTTTATGTGTTAAGCTAACTCAGCTAATTACATATAGACGATAGCTTGTATAAATGCAACAAGTAAGTACAAAAGCAGCTCAGAGTTTTCCAGATTTTGCTCTGATAGAGAAAAAAAACTACAAAAAAAAAGTAGAAAGTTTAAGCAGGAAGTCATTCCTCATTCAGTGTCATACAAATTAAAGGTGCAATTTATGTTTTCCAGGCACATACTATAATTTTATAGCACAATCAAGTAACTGTGTTAATTACAGTTGTTAATAAAGGCTGTAAATGTCAAATATGATTTAAAAAATTTTACTCTGTTAATTAACAGCTCAAAAAGACAATGTTGGAGCTCAAGCAGAGCTGGACGAAAAATTTATTTTATCGATTAATCACGATTAATCTTTTCAACCCAATGCCAATTATAGCAAATTGTTTTAGTTCTCTCTGTTTCTTCATCTTCACATCTGAAAACCCAGCTGGGCTTTTTTCACAGACACTCACAAGTCCAGAGGGTAGAAGAACAGAACAAGGTATTTTCCCTTGAAGTCAGCCAGACTCAGGTCCTTAAACTCCCCGTTGTGGACCGCTGTGGCCTTAAAGCCGGGCGCCGGCTGCGTGACGGCGGCCGCCCATCTGGAGGCGCCTGATAAACAAAACGTCAAACGATTCTTACTCTGTTATCTGAAGATTCGGCCAACAGTTCTCTCTGTAAACCACAAATCAGCAACTATTTGATATGGAAAGATACATTTTTCTCCAATACTAAAAGTTTTAATTTGCTAAATCTTTCTGAAGCTGAGAAAAATAAATTTTACACAGTTAGTAAATTCTTGCTGTAGAGTTACTATAGCAAGAATTCAGTAGATGCTAATAAACTTTGAAGGTAAGAAAGATACAATTTAATCTGTAGTTTGACACCAGTTGAGAAATAAAGAGCTAAGTGACGTACAATTATTAAATCCTCTAGTTGTTTATTCACCATTCGGCTGTAAATCCCTGCTTTTGGTTGCTTTAAAAGCTAAAATAAGAAAAACAGTTGCAAAACGATCCCAAATCATCACAAGACCACCACCGTGCCCAACAGAGCCGTGTTTACTTTAAACAAATAGAACTGGTTCAATCTCATCTGTAGGACTAAAACAATTAATCTGGTTAATAATCATCAACAGTAGAAAGAATAACATTGACTCTTGCACGGTGTTGTTGGTGCGATACCTACTGGTGGAGAAAAAGGATTTCTGGAGAACAGGAGCAGAAAGGACCCTGGCAGCGCCGCCGACTCCATGCTGGCCAGCAGCTGCAGCTTTCAGCCCTCCAGCTGCAACCTGAACCTACAAGACAATAATAAATACTTGAAAAATATAAATTATACTTTGGATGCATTGAATGAGCAAGAAAAAAGTAAGTCAGAATACAAAGGATTTATGCTGCCAACTATTCACTTCCTTCTTGTTTTTTTTTTTTTTTTTACTTAATTCTAAGTCAATTAACAGCATTTGACATTTAATAACAACATATATAAACAAACAAATCACAACTATGATTTTTTGTGATTTTGGTAAATTTTCATGAGTTTCAATGTAAATTGAGGGACAAATTGTCTTCATTTTATTGAAGACAATTTGTCATATGTCATATGGATGTCATCCATATGACATCCATTAATGTCATATGGATGCTAATCTGTTGCGATATTTTAACAAATGGAAAACCTGTGCCAAACATCTTATAAAGTAATATAAATAACTCCACTGTTTTTGACCTTGTTTTAACCTTCATCTTCATCATTTTAAAACTATTTCAGTTGCTGGCCAAATGAAGTCTCGCAACTCTTTTAAAAGTTTTGCAAAAAAAAAAAACAACAACATAATAATAGCGCACATTTACAAATAATCAAAAATAGGTTTGAATTTTTTTTTTTTTTTTTTTTTTATGTTCGCTTGGAGCGCCCGCGAACCAGAGGTTGGAAACACAGTGTCACATTTAGGCATATACGCAGCACATAAAGGCGTTTCTGAACAAATGAATGAAAAACTTCTCCTGACGTGAGTTCATTCCTGCTTCCTGAGCTGCAAACCGAGGTAAACAGAGCGAAAAAACGACATAAGCTGACAGAAACTAGGAGTTTTACTCACAGATGTCCTGAGCTGTCTAACAACCGTGGCCGCCATGTTGGATTATGTCACAACGGGAGGGCGGTTTGAGCCACGTGCGGGACGCAAATCAGTCATTAAAATCAATAAAATAAAATAAATAAATGTATTTTGTTACACTTGGAGAAATTATATAGCATAAAGAATTTAACACAAAATAAAATGTTTCCCAAAGAATAAAAAAAGGCGTCTATCGGTCAAGTTGCCTTCAGGTGCTCTTCAGAACGTCGTACGTCAACGTCGGCGCCATATTGAGAGGGGCGTATACGTTGAAGAACGCGTTGAAGTCAGGATTAATCATATTGTGATTTATTGCCAAACAGGACTATGCAAGAAACAAATATAGCTCAGCCGTTATTTTCTGGTTTCATTATGTATCTCATAAATAATTAAAATGTTTTAATGTCTTAATTCATCAAAGATATGTAACATTTTTCCAGTTTTATTTAAATTACATCAGTTTCGCATAATTACCTAACTAATGATTGATGTATTGATCTAAAATATAACATCTCATTTCTCTGTTTTTTCCTGTCTTTTGAATGCATCGTGAACGCTGATCACGTGACTAAAACGGAAGTCTCGTTTTAAACATCTTGACCTCAGAAGCATGAGAAAGGCATGGTTATAGGATCAGTTTTCAGTGGGTTGTTTCACTTTAATTCCTGTAAACTTTTATTTTTTATTCGCTATGGATGCTAATCTGTTGCAGTGGAAAAATCAAGGCCAGGTAAAACACGCGTGATTAAACACGCAGATCATCAATGATTGTTGCACTGAACCTGTTTGGTGTTTTAGTCTTTTCTCAGTAGGTTGAGGACTTGGGTTTACCTCCTGGATCCATCCCTGTTGCTCTCCTCCGATGTGAGATTTCATAGTAACTGGAGTTCTGCTCTGATGTTGGCCTGGTCATAATGATCTGCTCTCTCTGCTGTCCTCAGGCTGAAATACTGAAAGCCCATTCTCTTATTGGAAGCCCAGAGAAGCTGGATGAAAAGGTCAGAGTGCGTTTTAGTGTTTTTAGTTCGTAAAGTGGTTAAAAACACTGAAAAACTTTAATATATGCATTTCTGACAGGATGACGTGTCAGTGAACCTCTCACTTGTAAGTTTAATAATATTTCACATATTCTCTAATACAAATATCAACTTTTACTGACTGATTTTTTTGCAAATGATATTTATTCTGTCTTGTGTTTACAGTCTTCTTCCCACCCTGGTACTGGTGCTGTTCTTCCACTTTTGTTCCGCCCTCCAGGTACGAAATGAAAATGTGCATTTTTGTCTCAAAACATTCAAAGTTCACCTCAGTTTCTCAGGCATGCTGCAACAATTTAATGCCAACTGATGTTAGTTTTAAAGGACAAAAAATAGTGGTTGGGAACTGAATCTATTATACTGGAGTTAATTATGTGTTTAACCTAAACTTACATGTATTCTGCAATGTTGTTTTTTGTTTTTATTTAATTTCCAAAAAATGTTTTAGAGGTGTAAAGGTTATGGAAGTGAGTTCCAGCATATTTGGTCAGCTGGTTTTACTGCTGTATGCACTGCACAATGGCTGTTTTGTTGTTGACTCTTCATCCAGAAACTGCTTTCTGCGTTCTTGTTGGTTGTGCAGGAGGCTCCACTTCTGCTTTTCAAAGATGTGTGGTTGCGTAATTGCACATCTGTTTGCATCCATTTTCACATGTGAGTGTAGATGTTGAGTTGGGGAGGGCGTGGCCAACATCAGCTTATTTGGATTTAATGTGACAAGAGACCCTAAAGAGGTTTCAATAAATTCATCTGCAATGTTAACGTACTGCAGTATTTATACTGCAATTCCCCTCTCTACCGTACACCTCACCACCGTCTCACTGCTCCACCCTCACACACCTCCAGTTAGTGACGTGAAGTAAATTTCTGAAACACATTTTGTTTCCTGTAGAGTTGGAAAAAATTGTGACTTTCATTCTTCTCTTTCTTTCCAGCATATTTACCAATATCAGGACCTTTGGTAAGTGTGTTTATTACCCGAAGTCTATTTGCCTGCAAAGTAACAGAGCATGATATTCCTGTGTTAGAAAACATACAAAACAGATTTACATCTTAGTGAGTGAAAGAATTATTTTATAATTTTTTTTTGTTTGAAAAGTCCGACCATGTTTTTGTGACTTAAGTTCCAACTGCCGATACCAAATAAAACACCTGTATCCCTGATACTTATTATTTATGGTTAATATAACATAAAACTTATGACTTTTAGGTGTTTTTGTTAAAACCTGGCATAGAATTTGGATAAAGTTTATGGATGTTCACAAAATGCTTTGTGGAAAAATAAAAACATTTGTGGTTTGTTTTCTAAATAAATGTGCAAAAATTATATAATTTGAGAGCAAATTAAAACAAAATACATTTTTATCAGTAGAGTCGAGGAACTACAATACAAAAATAAAATTTCAAGAGGGAATCTGAAACTTAATTATCGATCAAATACTGATATAAACTTGGTATCAATATTATTAGAATTACAAAATGAATTCTTTATTTATTTTGAACAAGATGTTGGAGAAAAAAATAAAATGATTGAAAAAAAACAAAAATGTATCATAATAATCAAACATAAAAAAACTACATTTCATATTCAGTTCAAAAAGTTGTAGGAAGTTGACAAAGCTTATTAAATCCTACCTAAATCTCATCCAAATATGTCCAACATTATATATATCTACACATCAAATTTTTACTCATGTCACAATTTGTACTCTTTTCAAATTATATCTACACAATTAATTTATTACTATGCATTTTACATTGTGCTGTATAGACGTGCATCATGCTTGTTTTTAGTCAATATTCTTTCTCTTCACATTAAAATAAACCTTTATTTTATAGGCTTCAGCTGTTAAAGAGCGACCTTTTCCTGTTTCCAGGTCGTTGGGAGTCTTTTGCCTCACAGCGGAGTCAAAGCGGCTCTGTTCTGGCAGGTAGTGATGCGCGTCGCCTCGCATTTGCTGAGTTTGTTGATGCTGACAAACTGAAGTCATCCATTTTGCCGTTCAGTTTTTGCTGCAGAGTTACAACGCCGCCTTCAGCTACGTGCACAGAAACTCTTCAGCAGAGAAGGTAAAGTCTGTAAAAGCCGACAATGACTCAAAAGTAGCAGGTTTTTCAGTTTCACCTCATCTTTGTCTCCAGGAGAAGAAGACGTCGCTAAAGCAGCTCCTGCTCATGGCGGGAACCGTTTCCTACACGATGTGTGCCGGGGTGTGTGCGGCTTTTCACTGCAGAGTTGGTCACCGAAAGCTAAACAGTTTGAAGAGTTGCTGATTGGATGTTCTGTGTTTATTATTTTAGGCTCTTCCTCAGCTTTTGATCGACAGACTCCACATAAGAAGCTCTGCGTTGCAGACGTTCTGCAGGTCCATTCTCCCCATTCCGCTGTCAGGTGAAGCTCCTGTCCTCAAATTCGGCTTCAGTCGCATAAAAACATCTGAACTTATGTCTACAATCGCATCTCGCATGGGACGTCACATTCTGAAAATTAAGGAGTAAATATGAAAAATTACATTAATAATTTAATAATAATAATTTGAAGTAACATGAAGACCAAATAAGATGGGAGAATCTCTCGCATGTAAAAAGTTTTCTGCATGTTTTTCACGTGTGCAAATTATTTTGCGTCTTAACCAGAGTTAGAAGTTTTGGGTTTTTCATTGTAGTTTCAGTTATTTCATTGACTTTTTGTTTGTCTATGTTCAGTTAGTTTTTATTGAGTGTGTTTGCTAGTTACTAGTTACACTAGTAGTTTAGATGCAGAATTCAAAAAGGTCAAAGTGTTATGAATCTTGTGTGGCCATGTTTTTGATCTTTTTTGTGTTTTGTGGGTCTTTTGTTTGTTTTTCTGTTCTTGACTCTTCCCTGCTGTGGATTCATGATCTTTTCCTTCACCTCCCTCAGCTGCTCTGGCATTTTTCAACGTCTTCACCGTCAGACACCAGGAAACAGAAACGGGGATCCAAGTGTTCGACTGTAACGGAAACCCTGCTGGCGTCTCCAAAGCAGCAGGGTCAAAGGTTAAAAAAGAAGCTAAATAAGTGGAAAAAAACATTTTAATGTAACAGTTTTAGAATTAAAAGTTTGTTTTAATTAGGCCGTGTGGGAAACTGCGCTGTCGAGAGCGGTGCTGTTTGGGACGACTGCTGCCGTTCCCAACCTGTTGGCTTTATTCCTACAAAGGTGACTTTAATTTTTATTATTTTTATATCATTACTAGTTTTTCCTTGAAAATTACTTTAGATGGAGTTTATCTGAGGAAGAACGTCATCTCAAGTTCAGTTTCTCTATTTTACTGCAAAGCTTTCCAGATTATTTTAGTAATTTAATTTAATCCAATAAATTATTTCAGTCTTAGTTTAAACCCTGTGAAAATGTCTGACTGGCTGATATTTTCAACCACATTTGGACAGAAATATAATCTGTTTTCTTCTTGCAGGAGAAGCTTTTTTCAGAGGAACTCTCTGCTGATGGCACCGTGTCGCCACATCGGCGTGGCGCTCGTCCTCGGATCCATGATCCCCGTCTCCTTCAGCCTCTTCTCGCCGGCGGGAACGGTGAGGTTCGGGGTTTTCTGCTTCCCGTCGGCTCTGAGGTTTTCCAAACTGACTCCGGCTTCGTTTCACAGATAAACCGGGACAGAGTGGAGAAGGAGCTGCAGGCCGGAGCGTCGGGCCAAACGTTGTTCTACCACAGAGGACTCTGAGCAGCAAAACCTCAGGAAATCCTCAAAATTAATTTATTAAACCAAGTCATTTAGATATTGACTTTATTCAGTTGTTATATCAGGCGTCTTTTATTCCAAACATTTTATAAAATCATTAAAATACATTTACTTTGATGTTACATGAATTTTAAAATGTAAAACCAACTTTCTTCTTCAAGAGAATGAGGCAAAAAAATTATGATTTTGCAGAAAGAATCAACAATGAAACATGAATAACCTGAACAATAATTTGTGTGAAGCAGCAAAATCAACAGTGCAGTATGTAACGTTTATAAAAATGTTTTGTACAAATTAAATCTGTCACCCTGTCAGATAAGCAGCTGCTTAAACACAAGTATATATACATAAAATAACACTGAATAATAAAAATTTAATGGCATTTAGTTCAAAAAACTAAATGTCATGGAAAAACAACCTCTCTATTGTTATAATTGTTATATAAATAATTGTTAATCTCTTCCTGCTGTTACTTTTGGAAAAATACATCAAACTTGTTTGCTGTAAATTTAGTGTTTATCAGCTGATGTTACGGTCAAATAGTGGAAATAATCTGGTACTTAAACATCACTCTCCGTTTAAAATGTCCACTTTTACTGCTGTAATAACCATAATAACACTGGCATGATGTAAACTAATTGCAGGTATGTTACACACAGAGTAGATTAGGAAGAATAGAACTGCTGAAAAAGTAAAAATGTCCAAATTCTGGTCAGTTTTGACCTGAGATTTTCCAGATATTTGTTAGATTTGGAGAACTTTGCCAGAATTAGGAGGGTTTATAAGACCAATTGCTTTAATCTAGTTTTAGTTTAGTGGTTTGTAAACTTTTTAATCCAGATTATTGTAATGGATTTTTCCCCCAACGGGTTTATTTGGTGTCAAGTTAACAACAAAAAAGGTTTGGGAATAATTTCAAAGTCTCAGCCATCTTGGATGTTAACTGGCTGATGCATTTAAAGGCCGATAAATGGTGGGAATTCCCAGTTTTCACTGAACGGGACAAGAACGTTGGTGTATTTCAGTATATGGCCAGATGATGGAGGTAAAAATCAGCCGGTTCTGATCTCTGGTGCTTCTTTTTACCCACAGCATTTTTCCTATTAGTGAAAAACAAACGTTAAACTGATTAAGAGGGAAAAACCAGCCGTGGTTCTTTTTACTATCTCAATTTTGTAATATCTTGTCACATGAGGATCATTTTCACTCAATCTCCGTTTGAACAAGAAGCTAGAATGTAGTTCATGTAATCAGAAGCACAAACTGAGACTCCTTTTAAAACATAATATAAAAACCGATGTATTGATAATCTGACTGCAGCAATAAGCAGAGATTAAAATTTAAGATTCACCTTTACTTTTTGTTAATTTGATGATGATAAAACAAACAATTTGGTGATAAAGTTTGAATTGTGGATTTTGTTTTTAATCCAGAGTGAAAATTATACATACAGGCTGAGATGCATTCATGGCATTTTCTCTCTAGTTTGGAAAATATGTAATTTTTTCAGAATAGGAATCGGCACCATCAGCCCAAACGAGTTTCTAACTGATTTCAAACATCACAACGTACAGATATTAGGTTTAAATATATAAACTTCAGAGGAAATAGTAAAGGATTTTACCAATGTTAATGCAAAAATGTTGCATTAAAACCCAAACATAAAAATAAAATTATGGTTCTTCAAACAAAAAGCCACTTTTTTTTCTCTTCAAAAAAATCCTGTAAAATTTGCAACCAAGTTGTATTTTAGCTGGACTGAGCGTAAAACGGCTCTTCTAATTATAAAGATTGCAGACGAAGTTTATTTCACTTGACAAGAACAAAACTTATAAACTTCTGGTTTTATATTGACAGAAGCTCATTATTACTCTGTGGCAACGTAAAAGTGATTTTTTTAGACTCCTTTGCTTGAGCAAAAGATGAAAAACTTAAAGAAACACAATAGAGATCGAATCGTTCCAAAATTACTTTTATTTGTAACGTGAAAAATCTGCCAGTGGAACGAGAACGTTTTTATCAATATCAAGGAATTATTTACTTTAAAAAAAGCTCCTATATGTTTCATCTGTAGACAAAAAATGTGTTATTGTTTTAAAGAAAATAAATTCAATGAAGTTGCATATTAAAATCCCATAATAACAAGACATCCATGTCTATGATTTCTGCAGATTCTTACCGTAAATCGTACCACAGAAGCATTAAGAAATAAAACCCTTCAGGTTTTAATCGCATTCAGGATTGAAAACTTTGAATGAAACGTTAATTATCAACGACCTGGAGTCTTCCTCAGGTTCCTCACCTTCAGCAGGGGAAAAAGGCCGTTGAGGAGACAGGAAGTGTCCGAGATTACGCGGCACAAGCTCCAGTTTATATCCGTAGGAGTTGCTCTGCAGCTGCCAGGTGAAACAGGAAGTTCTCGGTGGCCGGGGGGAAGTGATGCTGCTTCAAAACCTCCAGCGTGAGCTTGGAGTCTTCGCAGGCGTCGGCCAGGGCGAACAGGCTGGTGAGGATTTCCTTGGTCTTGATGGAAATGTCCTGATGATGAAAGTTTGGTGTTCAGAGTGGAAGGGAGGCAGAGAGGGAAGCGACTCTGCGTCGGTTCTCACCTTGATGACCTGACTGTCGGGTCGCTCAGCGTCCTCCGCAGACTGGACGATGACTTGAGCCACGTCTTTGTGCAACTTCCCCATCGCCATGGCGTCTGCGGCGACATGCAGGCGCGGCGCAGCATTTCAGTCCAAAAGACGGAGTTACATCAATGAAAACCTTTATTTCAATTCATCAGAAAAACTCAACCAGTAAAATAATAGATTTTTGTCTAATTTATACAGGTGCACCAACTGCACCTTAAAAACAAATTCTGTCCAATTTTTCTTAAATAATACAACAACTAAGTTTATTAGTTGGTATTTTCTAGTTTTTTGTTTTATTATTATTAGTCATTGATTAGATATTGTTCACATTTAGTTGAGTTTCCTAGTGCCAGCCCGGTTTTGATTCCTCTTCTATTGAACATTTGGGTTTTAGTTCATTATCCAAGTTAATACAGATTATTTCCTGAATCACTAAAGAAAATATCCTCTTTGTTGACATGAATTAAAAACCGAGTGTATTTTGTTTTCTTTCAGTGAACATACCTTTGGCCCCCTGGGACACGGTGATCACACTGTCTGGGAGGCTCACAAACACGTCAAAAAGCTCCAACCTGTTGCTCACTTCTGGATCCACAAACCCAGCGATGTAACCTGAGCAGAAAACAGAAACATTAAAACATCGATCACAGATGTTTCCTGAGAAAGGAGCAGAATTGCATGTTTTCTTGCCACATGGAGCCATTTTATAGCACAAACTAACAGCTACGTTACCTTCAGTTGATATAGAAATGCTATATATCAAATATGACTAAATTTTTTTTAAAATTAGGCCTAAGTCTCTTTAAAATCTCCTGCTCTTTCTGAAACTCCGCCTTCAGAAAACCATCCCAACATGGCTCCTCTCTTAGCCCTTCAACAACCTTTTTTTTTTCCTTATTTTTTTTTACCAGACTTTCCCTGAGAAGAAGCTCCTATAATGAGCTCAGGTGTTTGCTAATAGCTGCTGGATAGTCTGAAGGAGCTGAGTGGGGAGGAGCTGTGCCTGACAGGCGGAGCTAGGTCCACCCAGCTCAATGGTTGCCATGCAGATTAAATGATTTCTGCATAAAAGAATCAAGACAACAATCCAGTTTTGTTTTTGATATGGGAATAACTTACATGATGTAAAGGTGAAAAAAGTTAATTTTACATGATACTGCCCCTTTAATTGGTCGGATCTGCAGGCGACCTCACCGGGGCATTTCTTCAGGTCGTCCAGCTCCGCTGCGGTCAGGTGAACGTAGGGATGCAGGACGGACCAGTCCTTCCTGTGCCAGGCCAGCGCCGGCAGCACTCTGCCCAGAAAGAGACGGAGACTCAGAATCATTCCCAGCAGCAAAACGAGAGGAAACATCCGAGCTTCACCTGGTGAACTCCAGCAGCGCTTCAATCCGAGGATGATGGACCACAATCCTCTTCTTCAGCATCAGGGCGGTGTACAGGATGATGGTCTCCATGCCGAACTGAGACACAACATCTGAGGCAGAAGAGAAGAAAAAACAACAAGTTTAGGTTCAGTTCAAAGTGCTTCATCATAAAACATCATAAAACATCATACAGTCACCAACTGAGAAACAAGAAACATTTTGCTACTTTTATCAATAACAAATCAATAATTCTGATCTGGTAGATTCATAATTGATGTGAAGGAAAAGCGTTACAGGTGATTCGTGGACGGTTTTACCTTTGATTGACCCTGCCAGGTACGCCTTTCGGACGTCATAATCCTTGATGAGAAACGAGCCGTTTTCATCATTCTGACAGACGCCTTTGGTCAGGACGGTGATGTAAGCCTCCATCATCTTCACCGGACTGCCGTGTTTGACGTACATCCTGAAAAACAAACCAGCCGCACTGATAAGAACGAACCGCGAGCGTTGAAACGGTGGAAATGAACTTTAGAAACATTGTTACCTGCAGAGTACGCGACTGAGAGCAGCGTATTTCTCAGGGTTGAAGTCTTTTGCTGTGACAACGATAGAAAAATGGGTGACCTGCAAGCAGAAGACAAAACATCAGCATAGATGTATCATTTGTACTGGGCTGGGTGATAAATAGAGTTGATCAATTAATTTAATATTTTGGTTTTTGAAGATTAAATCTGTGGATTTGTGGAAAATCTGGATTTTTTTCCACCAATTGGTTTCCATAGAGTGATGTCAGCACAAAACAAGGCGGCCATCTTGCTTGACAGCCATGTTTTACAGACATCTTGTATTTATTTGGACTTTGAATTCAACTCAACTCTGTGTGGGAATATTAGAGCCAAGCTACAATTTTTAAAAAAAGTTAATAAGAACAAAGTGGAAATTTTATGAGAATTCAAACACTCAAAAAAATAAAATTACCACAAGGAATTTTGATCAACAAGTGAAATTCTACTGTGGCACAAGTTTTATACATTACACTTAATATTTAAACACATCAGCATCAAACCATTCAGTAGGTCTTTGAAACAATCCTTCAAAATACTCTATTTCAAAATAAGAATGACAGACTGAGGCGATCAAATCTGAGAGTTTTAGGAAGAAAATTCTTGTTTTTCTAGAATGTTTCTGAGATTCTGGAGGGATTTTCTAGCCAACGTTCAACCTTTTGGAGCTCAGAAATTCTCAAGTTTTTCTGGAATATTTCTGAAATTAACGTCAAAATTTCACAGTTTTTCCCACAAATTTATTCCTTTTTTCTCTCTTTACAAATGGCCCTAATATACCATCATACATAAGATTCTGATAACTCTATCCAGGCTTTTTTCTCATTAAAACAAAATGTTGTAGCCTACAAAACACTTTTAGGAAATATTTTCTGTCAATTCGAATTTCTATTTTAGAAAAAAAAAGCAATTAAATTGAAAACAATCTGATTTTATTTTCAAGCTTTATTTTAGAGGCGTTCTGATCCAGAGACAGGCAGCCGGGTCAGCACCTTGTTCAGCGCCGTCGGCTCCTGGACCTCCAGCGTTGTGATGTAGTACCAGGTCCGGCTGAACTGGCCGAACACGAAGGTGTGGAAATCCCGTCCATCCTGCGTCAGGCAGCACTTCCTGAGCAGCAGCTGCCTCAGCTCAGGGCTGACGGAGGGATAACACCACACCCACAACGTGTCTCCATTCACGTCTTTCTCTAACGGTGGAAAAATGAAAGACAAGATTCAGTAACTACTCAGGACAAATAGTGAGGAGCAGATAATCTGAACCAACAGCTGCAGCTCTGTTATCTCCACCCAGAGTCAAACTTAGTTTCATTTTGGACCGTATCAATATGACAAACATCCTCTACGAATCGTTTGAGGCGGAATGTGTTGATAAAATAAAACTGTTAAAATGTGACTAAATTACATTCTCTGCATTCGATGAGTATTTATTTAAATCTCACATTGATGAAATTTGACAGCACATTGAGAAAAAGTGCTTTGATTTGATTTATAAAATAAAATTCAACAAAATAACTTTTTTATGTGGCCTTCTGGAGTCTTGAGGGCCGCGTAAAAATCTAATGAGGGCCAGATATGGCCCTCGAACCTTCAGTGGCACACATGTGATCAAGACATTTCTGTTGGTTCTTCTGACCAAAATGTTTTAAAGATGAGCGTCTAAGATCACCAAGTTTAAAGTTTTGTCCCCGTTTCCCATTCAAATTTAGGTCTGGACTTTGACTAGGCCATCATGCGTTGCTTTCTGTCTATCAAATAAATCTTAAGTGAGAAATTTGAGGCGATTCACTGAAGCTTTTTAGTGACTAGATAAAGAGTAAAATAAAGAATGGATCATGATGAGTTATTGAATGTTTGGTGCTTTTAGCTCCAACCTGCAGGATCCGCAGGGCCCTGCTCCTGCTGATGAAGCATATCTGGGTCACACTGGTGTCATGTGATCTCCATAAAGTCCTGAAGCGCCAGCTTAAGTTGTTTAAATTACTGTACACTTTAATAACAGGAAGAAATGTCCTGATCAATACAAACTTACCAATTAATCCGACGCTCAACATCAGCTGAGTCTCAGTCGTTGCCATGTTCCATTCCAGTAGGAGACACAAGTTAAACCACAGCCAAAACACAGGAAATCTCCTCGTTTTTGGAATAAAATTTGTCCCGGCAGAACCTCCAGAATGCCTCAGATGGTTAAATGACTGAAAACAAATCTGGATAAATTCAGAAAAAGCGGAAATAGTAAGTCTGGGTTACTGGGTTTGAGACAGTTCAGCTGTCAATAGACTCCCCATCTCTTTGCAGAACCTCTTCCTTCTTCCGGGACTGGACGGCTGGAAGGGCGGAACCTCGGTGCTCTCAGCCAATCACAGCTGTCCCTTCGGAAGCCATGTTGCTGCGTTCAAGGCCATTGGATAATAGAGCTTCTTCCAAAAGAAAACGACGTTTGCTGTTCTGTAAACATATTGTATTGTATTATATTATTTCTTTGTGATTATTTCTAATGCTGAAAATGGAAAATATAGGTTATACTTAAAACACTATTATTGGGAATAATTTTTATTAGTGTTGTATGCAAGAAAAATCATATTGAGGCAAAAATTAACAGAATACTTCATGTGTGAATTCAGTCATACATGAAAGGGAGAGAAAGAAACGTAAGGTGGTTAATTCCACCCTTTAAAATTAAGGCCTTGCAACCCACCTATTTTGTGTCTTAAATGCCTATTTTTTTTCATTTTAATCAATAGTAGTGACACCCGAAGGACAGTTTATAACTAACTAACGAACGAACGAACGAACGAACGAACGAACTAACTAACTAACTAACTAACTAACTAACTAACTAACTAACTAACTAACTAACTAACTAACTAACTAACTAACTAACTAACTAAATAAATAAATAAATAAATAAATAAATAAATAAATAAATAAATCTTGTATTTTGTTCTTTCTTCTGACAACATAATTCTAAGGCTGGCCATTACCAGTGTCTAGAATTTTCAATAGACTTGAACGCATTATCGGGGAGCACATCCGGGAGTTTTGTTCATCCACCGATGCCAGGTTAGTTATAAATCCCCGTTTAGGAAGAGTGGTATTATAAAGACGCAATCTTCAAAACAGCTAAAATACACGAACATTATTGGACAAAATAGACTAGATTATTAATAGACGACTTTTGGTGCAGGTGTGCCATCTCCAGGATATTGGTATTACCCACTCTGGCAACCCCTTACAAAGCTTTTTGGTGGCGCCTGCTATTTAAAAGGAATATTACTCTTTTCAAACACCAATAATCGAGGAATGTGTTCATACTCATGTTAAATACCTATCATAAGTGATAAAAAATTATTTCAACCAACCCAATTGGTAAAGCAAAAAGCTGATTACACGTTTTTCACTCTATCTGTGGCTTTTCCTAAAGGGGGAGTGTGCTTCGTACCTGGCAACCTCTCTCCGGTCGCTCACGCGGTTCATCCTTTCAGCCAGCGCCGTCGCCCCGAGTGGATGCGTGGCCTGGATGGACTGGTGAAATTACTGCAGTTTTAACCAAGTCAGTCACTTTTGAGTTGCACTAGCACATCACCAAGATGCCGGCGTATTTCCAGCGGCCAGAAAACGCTCTCAAGCGAGCGAACGGTGAGTTTGAGCTGCTCCTGGATTTAATGCTGACTCCAGCCGCGTCACCTTAGAGATGCTAACCGCTAATGCTAGTCGGTAAGCTAGTAGTAGCGAGATCTAGGTCACATTTATACCTGCCACAGTGGTAAGTAAATGGTAACATCGTACATTGTCAGTGTTAACATCATTTGAAAAGACATTGTTGACAACATTTTGTTGCACGTGTCCATTTTTATATAAAACGAACCGACGTTGTTAGCATTTATATGGTTGCACTTTGGGCCTAGTTGCTACAGTCGGTAGAAACAGCTGTGTTTAACGGCTCTCGGCGTTTTTCCACATTTTTGTGGATACCGCTGATATTACCAGTCATGTTTTTATGCAGATTGAGCTCTGCTAATGATATTGGATAGGATTGTTTCTAAACTTGATTTTAGGCAAATTGGATGTTTCGGTTGGAGATCGAGGATGTAAAACTTAGTGGGAAAATGTAATCAAAATGGAAAACTTGGAGCAAACCCAGTGCCACAATTATATAAATATTTACTAAAATTATTAGCAGATGTCTTTATTGTTCAATTTAATTTTACAAATGATCATAGTAATAAATCCTGGCCTGTTACATTTTTAAATAGAAACCATTTTTTCTGTTTTTGTCATTAGAATGTCAGTGAAGTGATTTAAGTTTTAAATAACTTGGAAATTACTTAATTTTTTTACTTTGTGCAGTTTGGTGAAAAACATGACTTTATAGTGAATCTCTTTCAAAAAGGTTTGCAGAAAATGCTAAATTCACAACATCTTCCTCCATTTGGCATCGCTTGAGTTGGATTTTAGTTGTTTTTTTAATTTATTTAAAAGGCTGAAGAAAGATGGAAACACATTTGCAGAATAAGTTCTAACATAACAAACGATTCCATCCATTTTGTGTTTTACCAGAAACACAAAACTTGCTAATTTGCAACTTCTACTTCCTGTTTATTACTATCTTACAAAGTTACGTTTGCATGCTGTGGTTAATTTATGAGAAAGACGGCTAATTTGCATATTAAAAGTCTACTCAACAGTTATAAACAATTGGTTAGAAACATAATACAAATGGTGTTCTATTGAAGCCAGTTTAAAATAGGTATTTACTGCATAATTACCTATACAACAGTATAAATGAGAACTATATTTACTGTTCTGGTTAAATAAAGTTTTATTTGTTTATTAAGGAATTTCTCTGACTTGTTTTTTAACAGAATTTCTTGAGGTCGGCAAAAAGCAGCCAGCCTTGGATGTTTTGTACGATGTTATCAAGAGTAAAAAACATCGAACATGGCAGAAGATCCACGAGCCCATTATGCTCAAGTACCTGGAGTTGTGTGTGGATCTGCGCAAGAGCCACCTGGCCAAAGAGGGTCTCTACCAGTACAAGAACATCTGCCAGCAGGTTGGGAGGAACCAATAACAGCGGCTACATCTGAGATGTCTGTTCACATGGTGGTAAATTAAAGCCTTTGTCTTTCCTCTCAGGTGAACATCAAATCTTTGGAGGATGTGGTCAGGGCTTACCTGAAGCTGGCAGAGGAAAAGACGGAGACAGCTAAAGAAGAGTCGCAGCAGATGGTTCTGGACATCGAGGACCTGGACAACATCCAGACTCCAGAAAGGTGAACTTATGGTTTAACAATCTAATCCAGCATTTCCCTAAAGAACATAACGACTTGCAGTAATTGTTGGTGTTCTCAGTTGATGCTGTTCATTTTGTCAGCCTTTCTGGTAACAGATCACTCTGTGAGTGATTTCTGTTCCTAAGTGGCCGATTGTCTGTTTGGCTTGTTGAACTGAGAGCAATAGTGTTTGCACCAAGTCACACCGCTTGAGTGAGCTCAGCACATACTTTCAAAAGAACGAACACCAAAGTTGACAAAAAGTCATGGGATCCAAATGACCCGACTCTGAAGACCTCTGGAGCGTTCAAAGTTTTAATGGCAGCAGCTTGCAGACCTGCAGGCGTCATCAGGAATAGCTGTCATTACTGTAGTTAAAAGAAATGAAGAGTGCTTTCTGACTGAACTCCGATATTTAAAAACCTGACTGATTTTAACTTATGCCAAGTAGTTTCCGTACTAAATGTTGCAAAAAATTACCAAAGTTGGCAACAGTAGAACGAAGCCTTCTCTTAGAAAAGACAACATCAATGTATTGGTAGAAAATATCAGTTTCACATGCAACTATCAACCAATCATCCAAAATTAGAGAAACTGGGGCTGATCAATCTTCGGTCCCCTAAAGGAAACACGGTAATTAAGGAACCTTTCTGATATTTCATATTCTTTGTGACGTTGCAGCGTGCTGCTGAGCGCTGTGAGCGGGGAGGACACCCAGGATCGTACCGACCGCCTGCTGCTCACGCCGTGGGTGAAGTTCCTGTGGGAGTCGTACCGCCAGTGCCTGGACCTACTGAGAAACAACTCCAAGGTGGAGCGTCTGTATCACGACATCGCCCAGCAAGGTAGCAAACTCTGCAGTAATGACGTTAGCAGACGAATTTCTACACAAGTGCTTAAAGTTTCTGCTACTTCTAGTTATTTGATTTGAAGTTTTTGACAGAAGAAAAAGCTCCCAGAAAACCCAATTCTTGTTTCTTTTTCTCCTGCAGCTTTCAAGTTCTGCCTGCAGTACACCCGAAAAGCAGAGTTTCGCAAACTGTGTGACAACCTGCGCATGCATCTGGGTCAGATCCAGCGGCACCACAACCAGAGCACCGCCATCAACCTGAACAACCCCGAGAGCCAGTCCATGCACCTGGAGACGCGGCTGGTGCAGCTGGACAGCGCCATCAGCATGGAGCTCTGGCAGGTCGGTCAGAACCTCTCCAACAACAATCCCCTGTTTGTTTTGAGCTGGATCCAATCTATTTTATTTAATATTAGTGCTGGGACTTTGTTAAAAGTTTTAATCAAGTTATTTGTTGGATGCACATGAAAATGTACCCTTTTTTAATTTGTTGTTAGTTGCAGTCCTATTGTGAAGTTCGACAATAAAAATAAGCTTTCATTGGAAAACATGAAACTGTAATCTCTGATGTTTAAACCATGTTTAAATTCAGCTTCACAACCAAAACACTCCACTGACGCCTTTACTCCTTGTTTTTGTCCTTTAGGAAGCGTTTAAGGCCGTCGAGGACATCCACGGCCTCTTCGCCCTTTCCAAGAAGCCTCCCAAGCCACAGCTCATGGCCAACTACTACAACAAGGTTTCCACAGTCTTCTGGAAGTCTGGGAACGCTCTCTTCCACGCCTGCACTCTCCACCGCCTCTACCATCTGTCCAGGGAGATGCGCAAGAATCTGACCCAGGATGAGATGCAGAGGTATGGCTGTTGTTTGACAGAGCAGAGTAATGAAGTGAGAACATGCAGTGAAACGGTTTATTTTGATCTCCAGGATGTCCACTAGAGTCCTCCTGGCCACTCTGTCTATTCCCATTACCCCTGAACGCACCGACATCGCTCGGCTGCTGGACATGGATGGCATCATCGTGGAGAAGCACCGCCGTCTGGCCACCCTGCTGGGCCTCCAGTCCCCACCGACTCGCCTGAGCCTCATCAACGACATGGTGCGCTGTAGCTTAGAGCATATGTGTCAAACTGGAGGCTCGCAGGCCAAATCAGGCTCGCCGTAACTGTTTCTGTGGGCC